CCCCAACTGTTTTGTACTGAAGAGTTCCAAAAGGGTTGTTGCTCATCTCTGATGTCTCATGTATTAACATGCTGGTTCTCCTGATCCTTAGATGCACTTACTTCTTCTGCATTAGGAATTGGGGCAAATTTGGGGGAGGGGAGGGTCCTCCATCAAGCTGATAATTAATCTGCCATGGAGACAACGGAGGAGGAGAGAGAATTGCTGAGAAAAACGCTTCCTTCTGCTTTCTATCCCAAGATTGCCATTCTATGCAAGATCCTTACATGTACAGATGTTAAGATGGTATTCCTGTTGTCATACCTTGTACTGCGTGATTCCCCTCACCCAGGAATCTTCGGATGATATGAGAAAAGTACAAAGAAGAGAAAAGAATCGTATTGCAGCCCAGAAGAGCCGACAGAAACAGACACAGAAAGCGGATACCCTCCACATGGTAAGAACTTCCATCCCCTACCCACCAGGATTTCTCTGGTATTAGCCCTGTTTCGTGCAGGTGGGGTGATAAAATTGTTCCTGGACTGTACCACCACAGACTGCAGGTGGGCAATTGTGTGGCTGGGTGTGCCTTTTTGTAAAGGCTCCTTTCATCTATAATTCAATATTCATTTTTTCGTTGCTTTAGCAATCTGCCATATAGGGCCCTCACAGGAAAAGAAAGGCTCTCTCTTCTTGATTTATGGGAGTCTAGCAGGCAAATCAGCAGAACCTTTCTCCCTTAGTATAGTTCCCCCGCTTGTTCCTATATCAGCAAGGATGTCAACTCATTTTAATACTTTTATGCACTTAATAACACAGATACCACAAATTATCCAGAGCATACACCCTGAATCCCATGGTATACTGTATATGCATTGAGGTGAGCATACCTTCCACAGTACTGCAATGCTAGTACAGTGGTACCTCAGGTTACATACGCTTCAGGTTACAGACTCCGCTAACCCAGAAATAGTGCTTCAGGTTAAGAACTTTACTTCAGGATGAGAACAGAAATCGCGCAGCAGCGGCACGGCAGCAGCGGGAGGCCCCATTAGCTAAAGTGGTGCTTCAGGTTAAGAACAGTTTCAGGTTAAGAATGGACCTCTGGAACGAATTAAGTACTTAACCCGAGATACCACTGTATTGAGCACTGGTTAAAAGTAAGAAGCAATCACACATATCGAACGTTATATCTGCATGTAGAAACCAAGATACAGTATAATGGAGAAAAATTCTCACCTAGCCTTCTCTCTGATATGCTAGTTTTATGTGGGCAAGTAGTTTTTCTTTTTCGCCAGAAAGCATCCAAGCATGCAATTCCCCACCTGCTGTGGTGCATTCCAAGTACAGATCTAGTCCGCTTGTTGCTCTTCTTTTCTGTCTGAACTAGGCCCGTGACTCAGCTCTGCACCAGATCACTCACATTTGTGGCCAATGTCTTTTGTTTGTGGCTCCAGAACTGCTGAAACTGGCCACAGTTGCAAACACAACTGCTTCTGCTGTGGGAAAAGCAGTATCTGCACAACAAGAGCAGCACCTTGTCTGAAGATAAAAGCGCAAATGGGGAAGAGCCATAGCTCAGTAGCACAGCACACAATTTACACCCAAAAGGTCCCAGGCATCTCTAAGGAAGGCTGAAAAAGACCCTTGCCTGAACCCTAGAAATCTGCTGCCAGCCAGTGTCGACAATAGCATAATGCAGAATCCAATGAGGCTGCCTTTGGAAAGATATTTTCAGCAGTAACAGTGGTACCTCGGGTTAAGTACTTAATTCGTTCCGGAGGTCTGTTCTTAACCTGAAGCACCACTTTAGCTAATGGGGGCTCCTGCTGCCGCCGCGCCGCTGGAGCCCGATTTCTGTTCTCATCCTGAAGCAAAGTTCTTAACCTGAAACACTATTTCTGGGTTAGCAGAATCTGTAACCTGAAAGCGTATGTAACCTGAGGTACCACTGTATGCCATGCCGCCAATCTGAATTGCAAACAGGATTTTAAAGGAGAGCCAGCCTTGTTCTCTGTACAAAACGTTTCCCCGTGTTTTTGCACCTACAAGGAGAGAGAAGCTCCCCTCCCCTTTATCTTCTGGTGAATTTCCCCATTGCGTTGCCGCTTTCCCCAGCTGCTGAAAGAAACAAGTGAGACTTTTCCTTCTAGGCCAGTAGCAGGTTTCCTGTGGCAGGTGGTTTTTCTGCTTCTAGATGGCAGTTGTTGACCTCCCCACCCCCACTCCGTCTCCTTGAGGCCTGAGCCGCACGCTCTCTCGGGTCAGGATGTCTGTGGCCGAGGAAATACGCGTGTATGAAAAGGGCTTGGTGACAGGCAGTGGGAACCTACAGGCGGCGGAGGATACACTGCTGTCATTTCTCATAAGTCGCCGGCTGGGGAGAGAGTGCGGCCGAGGACTGAAAATGTCATCCGCTATCAGCACGGGGCTGGGTTCTCTGCTTGGGTTTGCCCAGAACATGAGTTTACAGGAAGAAAACGTCAGTCAATCAGCCTGGAAACTCTAGAGTAGCTAGCGAAAAAAGGCTATGAACCCCACCCACACAGACCCTTTCCCACTACCACTTCTTAGATACAGTACTGCAGTCAAAAACAGAGGCCTGCTCCTTTTTATTTATTTTTTAAATCCTGCTGGATTGCTCCAGCTGCTCTGGGTGGCTTCCAACAAAATATAAAGGAACATGGCAAAACATCAAACGTTAAAAGCTTCCTGAAATAGGGCTGCCTTCACTTGTCTACAAAAAGTCGAACAATTGCTTATCTCTTTGTTTATCTGATGGGGTGCCACCACAGAGGCCTTGTTTCTCTGTAACTTCCCTTCTTGCATTGAGAGGGAATTGCCGCAAGGCCCTCGGAGCTGGACCCCAGTGTCCAGGCTGAACGATGCGGGTGGAGATGCTCCTTCAGGTATACTGGGCCAAGGTTGTTTAGGGCTTTAAAGGTCAGCACCCACACTTTGAATTGTGCTTGGAAAGCCCACTCCGCGCCCCCCCCCCCACTTTTGGGGCCTAGCAGATGGGAGAGGTTTCTAACTGAAAACTATATCTTTAAAGAAAAAAATAATAATTATGATGCTTCTTGCTGTGGATCTCTTTTTTTCTACAAATGTACCTAAGACCTATTTTGCATGTTATAAAAGGGCTCCAGGCAATGTACCTTGCGGAAAGCCATACTTTCTAATTTTCTAGAATGTAATATTATATTTCTATCCTGCCTTTTGTATAAGTAGCTCAAGGGGGCACACTCTTTTCTCCTCCCCATTTTTATCCTCACAACAACCTAATGAGGCTTCAGTTAGGCTGAGAGACAGGGATTGGTGCATGGTCACCAGTGGGAATCACCAAGTCTCCCAGGTCCTAGATGGACTCTCTAACCTAGTGATGGCTAAACTTGCCCCACCAGTGGTTTTGGGACCACATAACACCAGTTCTGAGAGATCTGCATTGGCTCCCAGTACGTTCCGAGCACCAATTCAAAGTGTTGGTGCTGACCTTTAAAGCCCTAAACGGCCTCGGTCCAGTATACCTGAAGGAGCGTTCTCCACCCTCATCGTTCAGCCCGGGACACTGAGATCCAGCGCCGAGGGCCTTCTGGCGGTTCCCTCATTGCGAGAAGTAAGGTTACAGGGAACCAGGCAGAGGGCCTTCTCGGTAGTGGCTCCTGCCCTGTGGAACGCCCTCCCAGCAGATGTCAAAGCAATAAACAACTATTTTACTTTTAAAAGTCATCTGAAGGCAGCCCTCTTTAGGGAAGTTTTTAATGTTTGATGCTGTACTGTTTTAATATTCAGTTGGAAGCCGCCCAGAGTGCTGGGGAACCCAGCCAGATGGGCGGGGTATAAATAATAAATTATTATTATTATTATTATTACATTTCCTATCATCCCTGACCACTGGTCCTGTTAGCTAGGGATGATGTGAGTTGTAGTCCCAAAACAGCTGGAGGGCCAAGTTTGGCCATCACTGCTCTAGAACCAGAAGGTTCTATCCTGTGGTGCTCCCTTTAGTGCCTCTCCCGAAGCAGAAGTCTCTTTTCCTCCTCGACAGCCTGGATGTTCTCAACATGAGTGGTTGTTGAGAGGCACCAAATAAGCAGGGCTATTGCAATTGGTACAGCAGGCACAAAAAATAATAATTAAGTGGCCTACAAAGGCCCTCAGCAATTTTCAAGTGGTCTACAGAAAACAAAGTTGGGGAAACCACTGCCCTGTACCACACCGGCTCACCTGATGTGTGTATTCACATGGAAACCCATAGCATGACCCCCAAGTTCTGTACACATCTGCATGGGCCACAGTTCTCTGTTGCAATTCCTGTGACTTTGGTGACTGAAAAAAACAAGTGTCACTACAATTGTGGGAATTGGCAACCGCAAACCTCAGAGATCATCACTTCATCTGTTGTGGAGAAAATAATTACTGGATGCCCTCCCTCCTCCTTTTCAACTTCTAGCTCTGAAGAACAGAAGCAAATTGAGTTGCACAGGAGTAGCTGGGGATACACCTCCCTGCCAGGAAAGATGAAAGGAAATAATTCTGGTAAATCTAGACAGGGCTGGAAGGCAGCTAAATTATTGCCTCCCTCTCCTTTCTCTTTCAGGGCCAAACTAGACTTGACATTAAATGTGTCTTTGCTTTTAACTTTTTAAATGCAAATAACACCAGTTGGGGGAGGAAGTGATAATTATCTGGATCTTATGGGGGGGGGGATTTAACCATTTCCTCCCCTGCTGCAGTTCTGAGGAAAATCCCTCCTCTGAAGCTAGTATTTGCATTAAAAGGAAATTCCCCCATTGGGGCCTTAAGAGATGAAGAAAGGGTTTGCTTATCCTGCTCACAGGACATAGCAGGATGCAAGCTAAGACCTCTTTCTCCCTTGAGCTGCAAGTATCAACCTGTGTTTTTCATAATGCCCACTGTTAAAAGATACAGCTAGTTTCCTGAACTGTCCTAAACTCATAATTAACTAACCACCCTCCACCCGTGGCTGATCTTGGGGTCTCAAAATTTGAGCAGCACCTTGCACAGTGCAAAAATTCAGTGCCTCTCCGCCTCTCGTGCTGCACTCTAAATCACCACCTCTGTCCTCCACCTTATAGTGAGACCCTGCTTTCTTTTGTTGATATCCCCAATGTATCATTTCCCTGCCCTTTTCTCACTTTTACTAGCATGTTGGAACCTTGTTTACTCATTCAGGTTTCACACTGATAATGGTAATCCATCGATCTATTAAAACAGGGCTATATACAGTTCCTTGACAGGACTTCAAAATAGAGGCCTGCATAAGGGCTCATTGTCCCTTACTAGGAAAGGAGGGAAGAGTCTGGGCTGTACAGGATTCCCTGGGGAAAGTTACATGCTTTAAATCAGGGGTAGCCAACTCCCAAGAGACTGTGATCTACCGACAGTTAAAAACTGGCAATGATCTACCCCCTTTTTTGAGGTTCTGGTCTAAGTTGTTGAGATTTTTTAGGGAGGAGGAAAGCCCCATTTTTAGGGGTTCAGCCAGATCCGCTCCACTTCCCAGTGGGGAGGAGTTGCGGTGGACCGCGTGGCCTTCCACTCCCCACCGGGGACGGGGGACTTTGTCCCCCATTACCCAGGGGATCCCGGCCACGTCAGAGCCTGGCTAGCCAATCCGCTGGCCAGGAGGGCATGGCCAGGGCAGTTTAAACGGAGGAGCGAGCCGGAGGACTTCCTCTTGGACTGGACTTCCTGCGCAGCGGGCAGAAGTCAGATATAGTTGAGTCCAATCAATGCCTAAGCCAATACCGCTCACATTCTGTAATTCAATAAAGTTGTGGCCAAATATGCCCAATAACATAAAATTAATATCTGTGTCCTGGTGTGAGTTATTTCCCAATGAGGGGGTGCCTGAGGGGTCTCGATATGCAATAGATCACGATCTACCTGTTGGACATGCCTGCTTTAAATGTCATATAATTTTATGGTGTGGATGCAACTTCCTTCTTTAATCCTCTTTTACCTCAGTTTTTCCTCGCCGTGTCACCTACATAAAATTAGGCCAAGGCCTGCATTTGGCCCTTCAGCCAGTGGACTGCCCCATTTTCTTTCTCCACGGTGGGCCTGTAGTTTCTAACTGATTCCCTCCCCCCTTTTCTTTAAAGGAGAGTCAAGACTTGGAGAGGCAGAATGCCGCTTTGCGCCGGGAGATCAAGCAACTGTCAGATGAACTGAAACACTTCTCTGCCATGCTGACTTCCCACGAGACTCACTGCTCCATCCTCCATACGCAGTCCCCAGCACCCACCGAAGTGCTTTTCACGCCACTCCCCTTTCCCCAGACCCACATCAGTGCCCCATGCTTCCAGCACTGAGAGCAACTTCTAGGACTGGGAAAAGTTTGCAGAATCCATGCCTGGACAGAAGGAGGAGGAGGAGAGATATACTTCACCACTATGGACCATTTAGGGGGTGGTATTCCCATATATCTGTTGGCAGGTGCTGTTCTGAATAAGGAGTAAAATGTCAGTAGGATTTGGCCTTTGTGAAGAACCTGTGACATGCTAGACTCACCTGCAGGGTATTGTGTGTGTGTGATTTAATGTACAGTAACCGCTATCAGTACTGTTCTGTTGTTTGCACTGATCTTCTTATCACAGAGCCTTGTACGATAAGCCATGTTCTGTTGTAAAATGTATACTAGTGGTTCTGTGGACACAGAGAACAAAAGGTGTTGTTCCATTATTTTTTTAAATAAAGATCTCTTTTATATATATACGGTATATATATATAAGTTTAATGTTTTATTTTTAAAACCTGGCCTGACCTTCCCCTGCAGAGTTAAGAAACGACGAGACAAGGAAAACTGGGCAAGGAAGCCACTGTGAATTGTTGCTGCATATTCAGGACAAAATACATGTTCTACACAATGAACAATGCTGTGCTTGGGGTTTTGTTTGCTAAACAGCAGCCACAGAGGAGACCAAGGTGGACTAAGACTGCAGTGGTGGTCAGGGAATTTAACCCTCTGTCCCAGCCATGGTCCTCATCCAAATTCCTCACCCACAGCTGCTATTTGCCCTGGGAGGAAGTCATTCTGAGGCTGCTTCCAGATTGTCACTACTTTGCAGGTGGGATTTAAGCATATGCTGGCAAATTTAGGGTTGTATAGTGAAAGTGGACTTTGAACTCTTCCAACCACAACAAGCCCACTTCCAAAAATATCAAACTTTCTGTGGTAACTTGTGACAGGGAAATGCACTAGCAGGTTTGGGGTGGCAATTGAGTGGTGCATCGTGTACCGTATTTTTTGCACCATAACACTCACTTTTTTCCTCCTAAAAAGTAAGGGGAAATGTCTGTGCGTGTTATGGAGGGAATGCCTACGGGTGGCATGCCTACGGATTTCCCTCCTCTAAAAACTACGTGCATGTTATGGTCGGGTGCGTGTTATAGAGCGAAAAATACGGTAATAACCTTCCTCCAAACAAGCAGACACCCCAAAAAGTTTTTGCAAATAAATCAGGACAAACGCTCAGTAAAAAGGTGGTCTACTCTGGTGGATAGAAAATCTGGTCCTGAAAAATGTTGTAATAGTTATGCAATACACAGAGGCAGTGAGCTGTGTAGTTACATTGCTAATTGGTTTGGGAGGTACAGTACAGCGAAGCTATGGCACAAATTCCATAAAGCCAGGCATAATCTGTTCTGTCTTTTGAAATAATTACATAGAAACACCAAAGTTGAAGTATTTCCTGTTAGCTCTAGGACTGAACCTTCCCCCCTCTGATGGGAGCTACTGTCCAGTCCTCCATATAGCTGCAATGGAGAACTTGAGGCTGCATCTCTGCACATTAAAGATAGCTTCCATTGAGAAAATTGGGCCTGATAAATACTAGTTAAAACTTGTGTTAGAAAAAATGGGTGTAGACATGATTTTTGTTGGGGGGAGGCAGGACTTTGTTGGGGGGGGGCAGAACCATCATGATTGGTCACTTAGTTAAGCACTTCTATTGTTTAACTTGATGGGGGGCAGCTGCCACTCCCTGCCCCCCCCCTATGCTCATGTTAGGGAAGGTGGGGGAGAAAGTGAGAAGGCTGCAAAATTCCTGATGCCTGCTTGTGTGCTTTAAGCAGCTGCTCCCATTCCCTATCTTACTAGTTTTCCCAGTGATTTTTCTGATCTGAGGAGGATTTGAGGCTGTGGTAATTCTCAGCTGCAACATTCTTCAGTAGAATAACATCCACACTGTGTCTTTTTGTCCAGAAAGGGTCTTGTGTGAGAAGCTTTGATAAACAGAGAACATATTGTTCTCCTGCTGTGGAGCAAATACTATTGTTGCATAAAAAAACTGTGCTTGGGTTGCCATAATTCCCATACGGAATACAAAAATGGCAACTTTGGGCATAACTAAAAAAAAAAAGCTCCTATCACCAGGGTTTTCCCTCCACACCCAACCCAGTGATCTCTCATTTGCCTTGCATAAAAAGGTAAAGGTACCCCTGCCCATATGGGCCAGTCGTGACCGACTCTAGGGTTTGCGCACTCATCTCGCTCTAGAAGCCAGGAGCTGGCACTGTCCGAAGACACTTCCGGGTCACGTGGCCAGCGTTTGCGCACTCATCTCGCTCTAGAAGCCAGGAGCTGGCACTGTCCCGAAGACACTTCCGGGTCACGTGGCCAGCGTGACTAAGCTGCACTGGCGAGCCAGCACCAGCGCCGCTCACGGAAACGCCGTTTACCTTCCCGCTAAGTAAGGCGGGAAGCTCAACCCCGCCGCGGGGATTCGAACCGCCGACCTTACGATCAGCAAGTCCTAGGCACTGAGGTTTTACTCACAGCGCCACCCGCGTCGTAGATATGAAAAGCAGGGGTGGATCTCTCTAAGGCTCTCTAACTGGCCCTCAAAGACTCTCTCCAGGCCACGGCCCCTTCCCAGCTGCACCGCCTACCAAATTTGCTTTTGCACACACCCCTCCAGTGCTTTCCCCTATTTCGTCCTTGAACTTGATCGGTCCTCTTGCTCCCTTCGAAGGGAACAGAGAGGGGTGTGTAGACACTGACTAGCCTACTGTAAAAAGGTAAAATTTGCATTTATTGCTCTGCCCTCTTGAGGCTCTGGGCCCCACTCACCCCTGGCATGTGGCCCCAAGAACATTGCCCAGAAGGGAATGTGGCCCCTAGCTAAAATATACAGTATTCCCCACATCTGCCGAGAATCATGGGGGCAAGTGGGGATGGAAAGCCCCATGAAATGTCCCTTGGACCTTTGAAATACCCATTTATAGTAAAGGGAGGGGAACTATAAGGCACTCATACAAAAACTACTAGTGGGAAGTCATGCCTAAAAATAATTTTTTAAAAAGATACTTCAGGTGGGCATATTAGGAAGCTGCCTAATTTGGTCCATCTTGCAAAGTATTGTATATATTGACTGACAGCCGGTGACTCGCTAGGATTTCAGACAGGAGTCTTTCTCAGTCCTACCTGAAGTTTGTTTCTTTGCTTATTTCAAATTTATGCTTCCAGGTGCTGCAAGAAGGCTGCAGAGATAGTGCAGGATAGTACGCACCCCGGAAATTATCTCTTTCAGCTTCTGCCTTCTGGAAGAAGGTACAGGGTTATAAAGACTAGGACTAGCCGCCTGAGAAGCAGTTTCTATTCAAATGCAATTTCGGTTTTAAACGCAGTGTAAAGTAGTCTCTATGGGAGTATATTGAATTTAATTATGGGGTATCAGAGTTTTTAGGGGGCTAAACAGGCTGGGATAGCTGGGATAGCAGGCTTGTTGGTTTTTCAATGTCTGATGTAGATTTGTTCAATTTTGTTGTTCTGTATGGGGCAATGACAATAAAGATTATCGTAATGTATCGTATTTATATATAAAAAATAATATACCACTGTAGCCTCCAAGCAATGTAAGGATTGAATCTAGAACCTCTTACATTGAAAGTATGTATTGTTGTTGTTGTTGTTGTTGTTTAGTTGTTTAGTCGTGTCCGACTCTTCGTGACCCCATGGACCAGAGCACACCAGGCACTCCTGTCCTCCACTGCCTCCCGCAGTTTGGTCAGGCTCATGCTGGTAGCTTCGAGAACACTATCCAACCATCTCGTCCTCTGTCGTCCCCTTCTCCTTGTGCCCTCCATCTTTCCCAACATCAGGGTCTTTTCTAGGGAGTCTTCTCTTCTCATGAGGTGGCCAAAGTACTGGAGCCTCAGCTTCAGGATCTGTCCTTCCAGTGAGCACTCAAGGCTGATTTCCTTAAGAATGGATAAGTTTGACCTTCTTGCAGTCCATGGGACTCTCAAGAGTCTCCTCCAGCACCATAATTCAAAAGCATCAATTCTTCGGCGATCAGCCTTCTTTATGGTCCAGCTCTCACTTCCATACATCACTACTGGGAAAACCATGGCTTTAACTATACGGACCTTTGTTGGCAAGGTGATGTCTCTGCTTTTTAAGATGCTGTCCTGGTTTGTCATTGCTTTTCTCCCAAGAAGCAGGCGCCTTTTAATTTACACCACTATTAGTGATGGCCCCTCCCCCTATTCTGAGGCAAGTATTCCTTGTGGGATTAGAAGCCAGAGATCAGAATTAAGAATTTAAGAAGAGCATGCTGGATCAGGACTACGGCCATTTAGTCCAGCATCCTCGAAGTGGCCAGCCAGAGGCCTGTGCGAAACCTGCAAGCAGGACTTGAGCGCAACAGCCCTCTCCCCTCCGGCAGCTGCCAGCAACTGGTATTCAGAATTCGTAAGGCGAGGTCTTGTAGAGTAAGCAATGCTCATACTGAACGAAGAGGCTGTTGCCATGTCATTGTGTGATGCCAGGAGGCCAAGTATCGGGAGATCAGATGGATTTGAACTTCAAGTCAATGGAGTAAAGCAAGCAAGCATACAACAAGCTGCAAAACCCAGGAGACTGGTCAGTGTGAGAATAAAGGTAGAGGAAATGTAAAGAAGGAGCAAAACTAGGTACAAAAGGAGGTTAATTTACCTGCTGGAGGAGAAAGTTTGGAATCAGTGTCAACACTCAGAGGAAGAAGTTGAGGAGGACTAGAGGAAGACCCTACTGCATGGCTCTTTAAAGTTTTAAATAGTGTCTTGGTTTTTCTCAGATGGTAATAAACAATGCTTTAGCGTATCATTTGTCCAGCATAACCAAATATGAGTTTTTCCATCTTTGAGAGATGACCAACCTGGCTGCAACCAATAAGCAAATTACAGGCGTTTGCAATCAAGGGTAGCATTATCTCTTTCAAACACAGAAGAAAAGCACAGTTTAGGATCTTATCCTAACCACGTTCTCTAGACTAGAGAATAAGTTCCCCTGATTCCAGGATGACCAGCTTTCAAGTAAGCATAGTACAAAATGCAGCATTTGTTGCAAATGCTGACATCTATTGGCCCTAAGGAAAACTGCAGCATTAACAACTAGAGTGCTGAACTTTTAAACAATGGAATCCTACACTGTAAGTACACCTTAACTTAGAATCAAGTCTCACCGAGTTCAGTGGAGTTCACTCCAAAGTAAATGTGCATTTCTGCTTCAACACAATCCATTTAGATAATGGTTACTTGTGTTAATGCAGACTATGATAATCTGATGATGACTAATTCTGGTTACGCCTCAAAGGTCAGTGCTGAACCTCTTCACTTGCTGACACGTCCAACTTTGCAATCACATGATTTTCATTTGTGACATTTGCTTTAAGTTTCAATTTCATTATAAATAAGGACCTCACCCAAAAAAAGGGGGAGGAATCAGGTAATCCCAGATACGCAGAAGACCCATCTCACATATGTGTACGGGGAGATGAGCTTTTGGTCCTTCCTCCACCATGCAAATTAGAATGACAGCTCAGCCTAGTGGGTGTACAAAACTGCAAATACAACAGCAGGATGAAAATGTATTAAAGAGTAGTTAAGATAAGTGATTAGTAGCCTGATTGTTTATCCACCTCCTAAAACATGGACATCAAGCCACTTTAGGCAGCTAGATCATATGGGATTTCCCCTTTATTCTTTTTGAGGAGGGCTGGCCCTACCATTGGGTAGAGTCAGGCCACAGGGGGGCACAGAGGCAATGTGTTGCAGGAGAGAGCTGTGGGTTGCCCTGCACTCCCTGCTTCTCTCATGTCTGGTGCAGGATGCGGCCCTGTCACAAGTGTGGAAGTGAAACCCAACTGCAAGTCTAGCTGACTTCTGTACACGGAATGTGGGGCAATAATCATCTTGTCCTTCACCTCGGGCAGCAAAATGTTTTGGGTCAGCCCTGCTTATATACCTGCTTTCAAGTGTACGAGAAAATTTCCCTAATCCTGGCAGCTCTAATGGAAGAGGAGTCTCTGCTGATCTCCTCCTAGCTCTCCCCATTGTCCTCCCCATAAAGAATCCCAATGTTTTGACTCATTTCTTCATAATGACTGACCACTGGGTTTCCTTACCTTTACAGAATGTTTCTGCACTAGGCAGCCTGACCTGAGGTAGAAAACAGAAAGATAAATCAGATTCGAAGTACAGTAGTAAAAGCAGACAGATAATTCTAACCCTCTAAATATTTTATTGGTGTGAAACACAATAGATTTATCCGCCTTTATGGCATCCCATTTTTGAACGCTCAAGGCAGCTCTCAATACAACCACTATGTAATAAAATAATGCAGATGAAACTGCTTTTATTATTATTACAATTATTAATTACCTTCTACACCACCACCAACTCCTTCTACATACCCTATTAGTGAAAGTTTTGTAAGAATCTGTCAGAATATTTGAAGAACCAGTGCTGAAGAACAAAATGACATAATCGCAAAAGGCTGGAAGGCAATCAATCAGGTTTCTGCGATACTTCTGGTCTAGGAAAAAAAGAGAGCAGCACTAAAGCGAATCCTTCATCTCAGTTATCTTCAAAAATCCCCACTCCTCAGCTGCAAAGAATTTCTTGTTTTACAATATGTGGCTTGTTGGACTTTAACCACATTTTGCTGCTTCCCAGCCTACTCCCACCTCTGGCCTTTTCCTTCCACTGAACTCCCTTGGAATTTCCAACACATTCCATCACCACAAGAAGCTCAGATCATGTCCTCTTTGCCTTAGAACCGTAACTTTCCCCTTATTCTTAATATTTGCATAGCTGCCCCCAATGGTGTTTAGAATTTTCTCTTGGTCCCTTCAAGTAGAGAGTTGCTAGGCGTCCCTGAGTTCCTTTGCCTTCCATGGGTACAGCTTTCCTCATCAAGGCATCTTCAGGAACAGGGCTGTCCCCTCAATTTCTTCTTGTTGTGCAGGAGCTGTGCAATAGGGAAAGGGGGCCAAACTGTGATTCAGTGAAACTGATTGGCAGTAGGTTCAGGACAGAAAAAAGAAAGCACATACAACGCATAGTGAATGTACCAATATAAGAACATAAGAAGATTCCGCTGCTGAGTTAGGCCCAAGGCTCTTCTAGCCTAGCATCCTATTCTCACAGTGGCCAATCAAGTGTGACTCCAAGCGACTAGGATTCGGAGGTGTTGAGAAGAATGCAATGTCATGCAAGGATGATTGCTCCATCAAGGCAAGCATTTGGGCTTCCATGAAGGAATGACCAACCCCCTCTGTTCTCTTGCTATGCATGAGGTTCTCCTGAAACCCCACCCCCAGGAAATTGTGTGTGTGCGAGGAGGGAGAGGCAGGAAAGCCCTGTGGTGGAAGTGGAAGTCCTTGCACATAGCCATCATAGCTAGTAGCCACTGATAGCCTCCCCCACCCCCATGAATTTGTCTGAAGTCCTTTTAGAGCCTTCAAATTTGGTAGGTAAAGGGACCCCTGACCATTAGGTCCAGTCGCGGACGACTCTGGGGTTGCGGCACTCATCTCACTTTATTAGCTGAGGGAGCCGGTGTACAGCTTCCGGGTCATGTGGCCAGCATGACTAAGCCGCTTCTGGCGAACCAGAGCAGCGCACGGAAATGCCGTTTACCTTCCCACCGGAGTGGTACCTATTTATCTACTTGCACTTTGAGGTGCTTTTGAACTGCTAGGTTGGCAGGAGCAGGGACCGAGCAACAGGAGCTCACCCCGTTGTGGGTATTCAAACCGCCGACCTTCTGATCGGCAAGTCCTAGGCTCTGTGATTTAACCCATAAAGTAAAGGTAAAGGTACCCCTGCCCGTACGGGCCAGTCGTGTCCAACTCTAGGGTTGTACGCCCATCTCACTTAAGAGGCCGGGGGCCAGCGCTGTCCGGAGACACTTCTGGGTCAAGTCGCCAGCGTGACGAAGCTGCTCTGGCAAGCCAGCACCAGCGCAGCACACGGAAACGCCGTTTACCTTCCCGCTGTAAAGCGGTCCCTATTTATCTACTTGCACTTAGGGGTGCTTTCGAACTGCTAGGTGGGCAGGAGCTGGGACCGAAAGACGGGAGCTCACCCCGCCGTGGGGATTCGAACCGCCGACCATGCGATCGGCAAGCCCTAGGCGCTGAGCGCCACCTGCGTCCCCCGATTTAACCCATAGTCATTGCCAAATTTAATGCCATGAGATGGTGATGAAGGCTGCCAACTTAGATGTATTTGGAAATAGGGTTGAACAGATGAATGAACACTGCAGCAGTGGCTTAGAATGAACCCTCCATGTTTGGAAGCAGCATACCTCCCGCTTCCAGAAAGTGGGGTCAAAGACGAAGGCTGTCATATTCACATCTGTGTGCTTTCCTAAGGTTGGCCGCTGTTGGCGGCAGAATGCAGGATGGACCTTGACCTGATCTAGTAAGGCAATGTTTATGTTCTTATCTTGAGTATGCACTCTTAATTATGTGCAGGGGAATACACTGACCACCTCACAAATGGTTCACAACCTTTACCCTTGCTCCATCACATTCTGCCACTTGGCTCAGAGTTTGTACTCTGGGCTGCTGCTTGGCTCATCAGCATGTGCATATAAGTTGTTTTCATTTAATGGGGCATGCACCCTATTTTTAACCTGGCCAGATGTGAACAAAGTCAGGGACACTCCCATCAATCACCTTCTTTCAAAGTTTGTAAGGAATTTATATCACTGTTCATCAGCGCTATTTTTCTAGAAAAAGAGGTGCTGGAACTTGCCATCAACACCTCCCTTGTTCTCTTATAATGGCAATGGCACACGCCTGAGAGGTGCTGGAATTGAGTTTTGCCGAGTTCTGGCTTAAAAAAAGCCCTGCTGCTCATGTTCTTTCAGGGTGTGTGCATCAAACACAATGCCAGGATTTGCCTTATCTCCTTCTGAACATTTCTCTATATTTTTCTGAACAAATAGTGATCTAATTCCTTTGAGCTGAAACTACTGTCAGGTATAAGCTACTTCTAGGACATTCCCTACTGCAGCAGCAGCATAGCTGTCAACCTTCCCTTTTTTTGCGGGAAATTCCCTTATTCCAGCGCAGTTTCCCGCTGCTTCCCACTGCTATCCCGGATTGTTAGATACCCTGTAGACTGTCCCCGGGGCAGGTGAGGCTGCTGATCCCTTATTTTCAAATCTGAAAGTTGACAGCTATGAGTAGAAGAAATGTGTGGTTGGAGAAGCCAGCCACTGGAATGCCATGCTTGCCTCTGCACTTGGCCTCCTCCACCCTGTTTTTTTATATGAGGGGCACCGCTTCACCCCAAATGACTCAACCCCCAGGAGCTGGTGCCTCTGCTGGAGGGCATCAGGCTGGGGAAGAGTGTCCTTAAGTTTCCAGTACAGTGGTACCTCGGGTTACATACGCTTCAGGTTACATACGCTTCAGGTTACACACTCCGCTAACCCAGAAATAGTGCTTCAGGTTAAGAACTTTGCTTCAGGATAAGGACAGAAATCAGGGTCCGGCGGTGCAGCGGCAGCAGGAGGCCCCATTAGCTAAAGTGGTGCTTCAAGTTAAGAAAAGTTTCAGGTTAAGAACGGACCTCTGGAATGAATTAAGTACTTAACCCAAGGTACCACTGTACAAGCGCTTTGTGTCTTTATTCTAAAGGAGGGCCTGGGTGAGCAGCTTACAGTTCATAATGCTGCCTGCTCTATTCTAATATTTCTTCCAAACAGCTTCAGCAAACCTCACAAGATCTGGGAAACCAACACAGATAACAGGGAAATATGTTTGCATAAGCATTCTCTAGCACAATCTACAATCTCACCTCATTTCTCCCTCTCATGGCAATGCCCTTGCAGGCTCAGCTGGGAGTCCTTTTGGCCTTGAGATGGTAGTGAGGGGAGATGTTCATGCTTCTTCTTCATTCGTGGGCCTTAGAGGCAATATTTTGTTTACTTGCGCAGAAGATCCTGATCAAAAGGTCTGCTACCCAGGGAAGCACAAGTGAGTTTTGTTTGTGCCAGTCCTCTGGAGCAGAAAGAGTACCATTGACTTGTTGCATTCTCTCCTCATGCCCACCTGTCATTTTATATCTGTCTGGGCACAGGGTGCCCTGGAGTATATGGCTGGAAAACACTGGGTACGTGCACAGTGTTGCTGATGCACTCAAGTTGCAAGCCTTCGGTATATGACCCTTTCCTGTGTGTAGAACACAGTGCAATTTAGGGCATGAAAATAATAATAAATGTGTCTCTACTTAACTTGAAAGCACAAGGGGGAGAAGGAACGGCATGAGCGCAGCTGTGTAGGGCTCATCTGGTTTAGCTACAGGTCAAGAGTGAGGTGAATCTGCGCTGCAGGGGCCTAAAATGTGTTTTCTTGGCTCTTGAGTATGTTATTTGTCCTTAAAGTCAGAAGAAGTGAATTTAAGTTCAAACATCTGACATGAAAACTGAATAATATCCTAGTTTAGAAAAACTAGTGAAAGCACAGGAAACAGGAAATGATGTTTGTGGCCAAGCTGACCTATCTATGATGGTCACTGGACCTGCTATTGAGCATTCTGCCTGATTTTTTTGCTGAGAGGTTACACAACATTGGCTAGATTCTGATTTCTTTGAGGGGAGGTCAGACACTCTCCAGTGCATTTCCTCATCACTTTCCTTATTGCAAAAAGTGGGAAAAGTGGGTTTGTTGCATAAGACTCAACCTTGTATCCCAACAAAGCCAATAATAGGGATGGCTGGAGACAAAAGTGAGTGGGGCCATCGCTTGACACACAGTCTCTCCCTACCCAATGGGCTTCGGGGAGGGACGGGGAGGGACAGGCCACTCTTGCCAGAGGCCTGAATCAAACAGTTGTAGAAGACTTTCACCCACACCTCCTCCCATCACTCTATCCATTTTGGCTCCCCTGCATTCCCTCCATGCTTCTCCCATGCGCCTTCAGGCTGCAGGTTCTCAACCCCTGGACTAGGGAGTTAGCCATGGGTGACCCAAGATTCCACACAACTGGGATTAAGTAAGTGGCACTGTGGGTTAAACCACAAAGCCAGGACTTGCCGATCAGAAGGTCAGCGGTTCGAATCCCTTCAACAGGGTGAGCTCCCATTGCTCGGTCCCTGCTTCTGCCAACCTAGCAGTTCGAAAGCACGTCAAAGTGCAAGTAGATAAATAGGTACCACTCCAGCGGGAAAGTAAACGGCGTTTCCGTGCGCTGCTCTGGTTCGCAGCTTAGTCATGCTGGCCACATGACCCGGAAGCTGTACGCTGGCTCCCTCAGCCAACAGAGCGAGATGAGCGCCGCAACCCCAGAGTTGGTCACGACTGGACCTAATGGTCAGGGGCCCCTTTACCTTTACCTTTTCCAGTCATGAAACTACAACTAGAAACAGGGGTCTAATCTCTCTAAGGCAAATCACACAAAGAACCAGGCCTAGAATTTTGCATTTATAATATGCTACCCTAGACTTCAGTTCCAAGATGCAACGCCTTCTGCCAAGATGCATGCAAACCAACCCAAGATGCATGCAAAACCATTTTATAGACTTGTTACAGTAGAACATGTTAAACCTGCCTAGTTCATAAATCGTTCATATGCTATTATTGTGCTTGCATGCCAAATGAAGTTTGAACTGCCTGTTTAATACTGGAAAGGTAATTGACCTTTCTTACCTGCAGAGCCTATTCCTCATGATGTTTATCCATTACAGCTAGTAAAATGCCTTTCCAAATTAGTTCTAGCCCATAAATGAGCTATAAACAGAGAATGCATCAAACGAATGCCTTTGACATTAGTTAATGGTTTTTAGTGTCCGTAGCCAGCTTATCAACTCTGAATTTATATGTTTTTAATCCTTAACTTCTTGCAGAACCAGCTACCTACTAATCACAAATGCTTCTCTTCAGTGGAGTGCGGTGAAATGTTGCATAGGGGAACAGTTAGGGCCAGACGCGCCAGCTTGCGAGGGCGATGGAGGAGAGGGAATGTTGCACACACAACATTCTTCCCTTCACCAGGCAACAGACAGAATGCTGGAACCCTGCTGCCTCCCTCCCAAAACCAGGACTAGCTTAGTCCCCCTAGTCCAGCCTAATCTAGTGCAGTGTTTCCCAACCGGTGTTCCGCGGCACACTAGTGTGCCGCCGGACGTTGCCTAGTGTGCCGTGGGAGGGAGGCGGGCGAGTCGGGCTAATCCTCCGACGAGCTCCACCTCCAGACCCATTGCTCAAATCCTTTAACCCAGGAGGGTGGGGAGGGGGGGGAGAAAGAGAAAAAAGAAAGGGAGGAAAAAAAGAAGGGGAAGAGAAAATATTTTTTTAAAAAAAGGAAAGAGAGGGAAAAAAGCGAGGGATGGAGGAAGGGGAATAAACAGAAGGGGAGGACAATGAAGAGGGGCGGGGCTTGGCAGGCAGCAGATAACTGGGGAGGGGGGCGCGGCTGGCAGCGGCTCAAGGCAGGAAGGGAGGAGCTGCCTCGCGGAGAGTCTTGGGCTGCAGAGATTTCCCGTTCAGGAGCGCGGGAGGCCACGCCGTGGATGGGAATCTCCTCCTCCTCTTCCTCCTCCTCCTCCAGGAGAGAGGGTGGTCCGCCCCACCGAGTCGGGCCTGCTCAAGCGTGGGAGCCTATAGTTAGAGCTCAGCTCCTTTTCTTGCCTTCCCCGCCCCCCCACGGAGCACATTTTCCTCGCCCCCCCAACCCCCGCATGTAGAATAGAAGCCCTCCAGCCTCCACGGTGCACAAACTCTCCCCTCTGCAACGAAGCGCTTTGTTGCATATCTTTGGTGAGGTTTTTAGGCAGTCTTGGTGCACCTTAAATCAGCGCTAATTGCGCCTGGACGCAGTATTTACTTCCGAGTAGGCCCCCTTCTCCCCCCCCCTCGGTAGCACCTGACGTTGCTATTCGTATCATCAGGTTTGTTTGTTGATAATTTAATTGTTTTAAAAGCATCATGCTAAAGAGCTCTCTCCTACCCCCAGACCCTTGGGCAAAACAGAAACACACACATACACAAACACAGAGATTGAGCCCTGCAGGTTTTATGAAATGAATGGATTCTGAATGCCTGTTTCAGTGGCTTGTCCACCTTAGGCTGCTGGGCCAGACACCTGTTACACGGTGCAGTCCGTAAGCTGTGAGCGCTGCTACCTGCCGCCGAGACCACGTAACGACAGTCTTGAAAGACCTACATTGGCTCCCAGTACCTTTCCGAGCACAATTCAAAGTGTTGGTGCTGACCTTTAAAGCCCTAAGCGGTTTCGGTCCAGTATACCTGAAGTAGCGTCTCCGCCACCATCGTTCAGCCCGGACACTGAGATCCAGTGCCGAGGGCCTTCTGGCAATTCCCTCACTGTGAAAAGTGAGGTTACAGGGAACCAGGCAGAGGGCCTTCTCGGTAGTGGCGCCCGCCCTGTGGAATGCCCTTCCATCAGACATCAAAGAGATAACCATTACCTTCTATGCTGTTACTATTTTTTTATTTTTTTTTACATAAGTAAAAAGTGACCTTTCCCCATCTGGCATGGTGGTGTGCCTCGAGATTTTTTTCATGAAACAAGTGTGCCTTTGCCCAAAAAAGGTTGGGAAACACTGATCTAGTGGATAGCACTCTATGTTAGAGAATCAACCTATGCCTCCAGCGACAAAGTTTGTTTCCTGTTTAATTACCTGTTTAATTAGCATTCAGCCTAATTTGTTTGCAGAGATTTGATTATGTGTCAGCTATCTAATGAGCATTTATCCTGATTTATTTGTGTAGAGACTGGATGATGTGTTATCCCACACCTTCCAGTGCATTTTCTTTTTTTTTTTTAATAATTTTTATTAATTTTCCAGACATGTATTAAAAACAAACAATAAAACAAAAAAAACATACAGACAAATAAACATGTATAATTTCATAAACTTATTTTCCTTCACCTTAGTTCCCGGACTTCCCCATACCTCCCTTTTTCTGCATCCTTATTTTTACCTTTTCTCAGCAACCCTCCATTTAATTAATTAACTCATCTTCATTATAATTTCCTTAGACTTATGATTTACAGCTGCAATTCTCTGTTTCTTAACACCATAGCATCTCAGCACTCCTCAATGTTACAACAATTTTTAAGATATATTTTAAATTTCTTCCAATCTTCTTCCACTGTCTCACTCCCCTGGTCACGGATTCTGCCGGTCATCTCTGCCATTCCCATGTAGTCAATCACCTTCACTTGCCATTCTTCCAGAGTGGGTAGCTGCTGCGTCTTCCAATACTTTGCTAGAAGAATTCTTGCTGCTGTGGTAGCATACATAAAAAAAATTCTGTCCTTCCTTGGCACCAATTGGCCCACCATGCCCAGGAGAAAAGCCTCTGGTTTTTTAGAAAATGTCCATTTAAGGACCTTTTTAATTTCATTATAGATCATTTCCCAGTAGGCTTTAATCTTCGGGCAGGTTCACCAAAGGTGATAGAAAGTACCTTCAGTCTCATTACATTTCCAACATTTATTATTGGGCAAATGGTAAATTTTTGCAAGTTTGACTGGGGTCATGTACCACCTATAGATCATTTTCATTATGTTTTCTCTCAAGGCATTACAAGCCGTAAACTTAACACCGGTGTTCCATAACTTTTCCCAGTCGTCAAACATAATGTCATGACCTATGTCTTGTGCCCATTTGATCATAGCTGATTTTACTGTTTCATCTTGTGTATTCCATTTCAGCAGCAAATTATACATTCTTGACAAATTCTTAGTATTGGGTTTTAACAATTCTGTTTCTAATTTCGACCTCTCCATCTGAAAACCTATTTTCCTGTCCTGTTTAAATACCTCATTTATCTGAAGGTAATGCTACCAATCTCGTACTTTAGACTTTAATTTGTCATAACTCTGTAATTTAACCCTTTCACCATCTTGTTCTAAGATTTCACAATATTTTGGCCATTTGGACTCCATATTAAGTTTTTTTGTCTCTTTAGCTTCCATTGGTGATAGCCACCTGGGAGTTTTACTTTCCAATAGATCTTTGTATCTTATCCAAACATTGTATAATGCTTTCCTAACAATATGGTTTTTGAAACCTTTATGTAATTTTACCTTGTCATACCATATATATGCATGCCAACCGAATCTATTGTCATACCCTTCCAGATCCAAAATGTCTGTGTTCTCAAGAAGCAGCCATTGTTTCAACCAGCAGAACGCTGCCGATTCATAATAAAGTCTCAGGTCCGGCAGGGCAAACCCCCCTCTATCTTTTGCATCGGTTAAACTCTTAAAGTTTATTCTGGGTTTTTTGCCCTGCCAGACAAACTTGGATATGTCTTTTTGCCACCTCTTGAAACAGTCCATCTTGTCCAAGATCTGGAGTGTCTGGAATAAAAACAACATTCTAGGCAATACATTTATCTTAATGACAGCAATTCGGCCTAACAAGGAAAGTTTCAACCTTGACCATGTTTCTAGATCTTTCTTCACTTCTGTCCAACATTTGTCATAATTGTCTTTAAATAAATTCACATTTTTAGAAGTCAAGTTCACACCCAGGTACTTCACCTTTTTTGTTATTACTAAACCTGTTTCACCTTCCAGTGCATTTTCTGTTCACTTTCCTTTTCAATATAAGTCTGATCTTTTGGGGAAGTGGGTTTGTTTTGCAAGTGCTCCCAAATCAGCTTTAATTGTGCAGTGAGAGTTTGCCAAGATGCGACTGAATCTCACTTGACGGGGGGGGGGGGGAGACAGTCTGGAAGTGCCCAGACTATGTACCTTATTCATCTTTTATGTACCCCTTCTAGAAAACTCAATACAATTTATCAGGGCAGATGAACCACCTACTAACCGTACCTCCATCTTCTCTAGATTCAGTTTGAGCTTACAAGGTTGCAACCCTTATTTCCTAGATTGTGTATTAAGTTCCAGCGAGATCAATGGCACTTGCTTCCAAATAAATATGCTTAGGACTACAATGTAAAAGATGCCAAAAATGTCTGCAGCTGGATTTGATGCCTCTCCTCCCCCTCCCCATCACAAGAGCGGGAGAACATGCTCTTTTGTTTGCATCAGGAGCCAAGTGTTATGTTTTGCAGTGGGAGCTGACCCAGTTCTCTGCTGAATCCGTTATTGACTTGTCGGCTGCTGCTGCTCTCTTTGTACAGAGCCCTGTTCCCCCAACTGAAGGTGCTTGTATAGCATTTCACTCAGTTTTATGAAACTCTGTTCTATGATATAATGAGCTTTTGCAAAAAGAGCAAGTGCTACCGACTTCATCTGAGGTCAAAAGGATCTTTCTACCATTGCACTACAATGTTCTGCTTTATGCTGCTGAAAAGCTGTACCAATAGACTTTCTTTTCGGTGCATAACTTACTGCAGTGGTGCAACTAGGGAATTTTAGACTCTGGACTTAACGGTCGGTGGGGGATATGGGTGGGGCTTTAAGATAGCCATGTTTACCACTTCAAAGCGAGTAATTCTCTTCTCCGCCTCCTCCTCATGCTTTACAAATGCTTCTACATTCTGGATATGTTACAGCAAAAAAGAAACAGATAACAGTTTGCCAGCCCTGGTTAAAGGTAAATAAATACTCTCAGCATGTGCTGTTTTTCATTCTGTATTCACTTCTGTCAGAGCACCATCACGACCACAAGAACAAGTTTGTTTCTGCTGTCCTGATGCGAAATGTATTAACTTGGGAATCAGCACCACATTGTTCTAGAAAGGGATAATATATTTTAAAACTAAAAATAATGCAGTGAGCATCTGTTACCATGCACAGCCAGCTACCCTCTCACTTAAAAAAGAGTTGAGAAGGAAGGATGTGTAGGAGTCTGCGCCATCCTCTCTGGGCCGCAGCTGCCCATATGCCAGTTTGGATCTGTCCCCAACATCTGCTGCTTTCTCGGAGGTCATTTGGGACCCGGGGCTTCGGCCACTGCGGGATTCTCGCGCAGGGCGCAAGGCTAACGGCGCCGCGCGGCTGCAGACTCCCGGACGGGACCGTCGGGCGCGAGCGCCTGCGCCACTTTCTGCGCCGCTCCCGGGGCTTTTTCGCGGGACGGAGAGAGTTGCCATAGCAATAGCAGGAAGCAGCGCAGAGGGGCGGGGGGCAGGCAGCCAATCCGCGCCCGGAGGGGCGTGGTGGTGGGCGTCCAGGTAGCTCCTTCCAACGCGGGCCGGGAGGGGGGTGGTTTCTGGCTGACGCGCCTCGGTGGGCGGGGCGGGGTGACGTGCGCCGTGGAGGCAAACCTTGAGCTGGCAACATGAGCCGCGAAAGGTGAGCGCAAGAGGAAGAAAGTCCGGCCAGGCGAGGCGTGCGCGCGGGGGGCGCTAGCTGAGGGAAGAGCGAGGGATCCCCGAGCCCGCGCTGGTGTCCCGCCGTCGGAGGAGGAACTTGTCGCTCAGCGCGCACTTCCTCGGCCGCTATGGTGAGCGGGGAGCCGGAGCTCGGAGAGAAGCGGACGGGGTACCGAGCCGAGCCCGACCTGTTGCAAGAGGCGAAGCCCGAGCCGGCGGACGCCGAGACGCCCAACGGGTCGGCGCCGGGGTCGGTGCCGGAGGTGCGCCTGACGCGGCGGCGCTGGGCAATCGTCTTCCTCTTCAGCGCCTATTCGTTCTGCAACGCTTTCCAGTGGATCCAGTACGGCAGCATCAGCGTCGTCTTCGCGCGCTTCTACGGCGTGACCCCTTTCGCCATCGACTGGCTCTCCATGTGCTACATGATCGTCTACATCCCGCTGCTCTTCCCGGTCGCCTGGCTGCTCGACAAGAAGGGGCTGCGCCTCATCGCCCTGGTGGGCTCCGCTCTCAACTGCGTGGGCGCCTGGGTGAAGACGGGCAGCACGAAGCCAAACCTCTTCCCCGTCACCGTCCTGGGACAGGTGGTCTGCTCGCTGGCCCAAGTCTTCATCCTGGGCATGCCGTCCCACATCGCTTCCGTCTGGTTTGGGTCCCGGGAGGTCTCCAGTGCCTGCTCCATCGCCGTCTTTGGTAACCAGGTAGGTGGCAAAATATTCAGGTGCGCATTAAGCCACGGGTTCCCAAGTTGTGATCCACAGATCACCAGCTGTCCACAAGCTTTACTCAGATCCTTCGTAGTGTATCTGTGGCTGAAACTAGGAGATGGTGCATCCGTTGCCTTTTAATATTTGTACTGACTTTTAATTGCATTTGTATTGCATTTGTATTTCTTATATTGTACTTTGTTGTGTGGCAGGTTATAGAATTCAGATTGTGTCTTTCAAAACTTAGATACAGTTTTTATTTATAAATGTATGAATCTCAAAGTGATTCAACTACAGCAGTTCAGCTGCAACAGCCACAACTAAAATAAAACTCAAATATCTACAATCAGGAAATGCCAGGATAAAAAGGAAGGTCTTTGGGAAAGTGCCCTTGTGTCAGTGCTCACTTGATCTCTACAGGGATCTCTGGTCACACCCACACCTTCCATTAAAAGCACATTTAATGGGGGCCCTTTTTTGTATTAATCATTGTGCATTCGCCACCAAAGCAGCCACTATGTGTCCTGGTGCCTCTTTCAGATCAATTGAGCAAGTTGTCATGTCATTGCAATGGCAAGACCATCAAAATAAATAAATTAGTGGGTGGGGGCACAGAAGGGACAAAGTACGTTGAACCTTGTCCAACATATGGAAATGAAAGAAGCGATCAAAAATACAATTACAAATCATACAGCATCTAGCACCATTATAATTGCTACAATAGAAGAATCATTGAGTGGTCCACCAATATTCTTAGCAGTCCATGGCGAAACATGGTTTGAGGACCAGCAAATTAAATAATACCAACAATTTCCATCTTGTTCAATAGTATAAGGTCGGAGAGAAAGAGATGAGGGGGGTTAGAGGAAAGGAGGTGGTCCTTTCCTTTACATAAGACCACATAACACCGATCTTGAAAGATCTACATTGGCTCCCAGTACGTTTCTGAGCACAATTCAAAGTGTTGGTGCTGACCTTTAAAGCCCTAAACGGCCTCGGTCCTGTATACCTGAAGGAGCATCTCCACCCCCATCGTTCTGCCCGGACACTGAGGTCCAGCTCCGAGGGCCTTCTGGCGGTTCCCTCACTGCGAGAAGGCAAGTTACAGGGAACCAGGCAGAGGGCCTTCTCGGTAGTGACACCTGCCCTGTAGAATGCCCTCCCATCAAATGTCAAAGAGAAGAACAACTACCAGACTTTAAGAAGATATCTGAAAGCAGCCCTGTTTAGGGAAACTTTTAATGTTTAAAAGACCACCGTATTTTAATATTTTGTTGGAAGCCGCCCAGAGTGGCTGGGGAAACCCAGCCAGATGGGCGGAGTATAAATAATAAATCATTATCATTATCATCTGATCTTGAGAGGGCTCATCCGTGTTTTTGCTTGCCCCATGCCTAGAAAGGACAGGCCCACATGGTTTGCCACTTGACTCACTCTTTCTAGGCACAGGTCCAAGTAGTTTTCTCCATTCTCAGAGAAAACCTGCTCTTTAGCTCTAAATTGGAGCAAACATCAATCCATTCCAGAACAAACCCAAATTGCTATTTGCCATTGGCCCATCTGGGGTTCTAGTTCCCCTGCCAATCAGCTGACATCACCCTGATCGGTGGGTGTCAGCTGGTGGGCAGGGGTGGTGGTGTTCAATTCTTCATTGGTGGTGTGCACTAGTTCCCTGCAGAGAACTGGTGTTCACAGATAATTCAACAGGATGGTACACTTAGTTCATCAGCTGATCAGCAGGGTGGTGTTGGTGTTAAATTCTGGTCAGTTTGCCTGAACAAATCACTTTGCATTGAAACCCCTGTCATCAGGAAGGGGGTTGAATCAAAACTCCTGCTAAAACTACCCCCCCCTTTACCGATGTGCTTTGATGTTCCAACTTTGGGACTTCAAAACACCAAATAACATGATGCCGCTGTGATATCAGATGATTTACAGGCAGGCCACCCACCTCTCAGATTTGGTTTGAGAGACCAATCCTGATAAGGATCTGACCTGTGGAGCCAAACAGGTTCCCCGCCTGTGATCTACTTTGTAGGCTAAAAGCTTGCTAGCATAAAGGAATCACTAACCAGTGGAAAGTAACAGTGGCGAGTAAATCTAGATGTAAGACATGTGTTGCTATACTTCCTCAGGCATGTGCATAGCTGGTGCACCAGCCTAAATTAGGCATAAATGCTCCTGGCAAATCCTGGTGCAAGGCAGAACCCAGGAGGATGCCCAGACTGTAAGTTTAATTCTTCAAGGTGAGTACTACCCCATCCAAAACAGGCTGAATCCCTATTCCAGAGTCTGCATCCTTCCTGACTGGGAGTGCATGTATCTTGTTTAAGCTTCCATTTATTCATCCAGCCCATTACTATCCCTAGGGATGTGCTTCTGCTAAAGTTCAGTACAGTGATACCTTGGTTTACAACCATAACCCGTTCCGGAGGTCCGGTTGTAAACCAAAACAAGTTGTAACCCAAGGCTCGCTTTCACCAGTGGGGCCTCAAAAAAAAAAAAAGGGGGGGGTTGTAATCCAAAAAAAGGGGGTTGTAAACCAAGGTACCACTGTACCTTTCCTAGCTAACAGCAGAAGTCTAGAACAGTGTTTCATGCTCTCTGAACAGCATAAGGTGGTTTTCCAGATTTTTATTGTTGTTGTTTTCCAATTTTTTTATTGATTTTCCAAATTTTTTTTAGACAAACAGACAAACATAAATCTCAAATGTATTTAAGCCATTCTTAGTAACACTGTTAAGTGACTTTCTCCTAGTTCCCCCTAGTTGAATTTCAATTTATACAGATTTTTATTATTACTGAATTTTCAGAACTTCCTTATGAAGTTAAAATAACAATCCAGTCATTTTGTGCAGTCTCCCCCCCCCCTTTTATTTCACTTCATACTGTATTTCTTACTGGTTTCCAATATATATACACACACACACACACACACACACACCCCCCCCAACATTTATAATACTGCATGATTGTAGTAAAACCTCTACTCTGATAAATATTAAAATCATCAATAAAGGCAGTTAAAAACAATTAGTGGCTCTCTTGTGATACTGGCAGCAGATCTAAGCTCTATACTTCCCCCTCCTTTCAAAATTGGCATTGTTATCAGAGAAGTGGCTTCCTGGGCAGGGGAAAATAAAGGAAATGTACGTGTACATCAAAGTACCATTGTCTCTGGTGAGTTTGTTTGTGCATGATGTGGCGGAAGTGTTCAATGTTCTCTATCCTTCCGCAGGGGTAGCCAGTGTGGAATCCAACAGATGCTCTAGGCTAGGACAACAATTCCCATCATCTGTGACCGTGCTGGCCGGGGCTGGTGGGAGTCCAGCAACATCTGCAGACCACAGCAATGGCTACCCTTGCTCTAGTGCTGTCTCCCTAAATGCTGATTCTGCTGCATCAAAGGGAACTCCCACATGCATTTGCCGCTTTTATCTTGATTAAGAGGGAATCCCACGACTCTCCTGTCTTTGCGTTTGTGGTTAACCTCACTGTGAAACTAAGACCTTCATTTTAAATATAAGACCATGCAACTAACCCTCCAACCCTCAAAGACTGTGGGTTGTATTCAGCAATATGCTCTTCTATCCTTCTGCCAATGCAAGCGTTTTAGCTAGCCGGTTGAAATGCTCTCCTTCCCCGCCCTGGCCAGAGCAAACGCTGTTCTGGAGTTTTCTCCAGAAACCCTCTAAGCCAATTTGGGTGGGTACCTGAGAAGAGGAGAGTTGGGGAAGCCATATGGTTCAAGCAGAAGTCCTTGCCAAGGGCTCATTAGGTGAATCATACCCTATTAAGATAGTAAGAGGACCACAAGGCAGTTTATAATAAGAAACACAAAAATGCATAACATAGTAACAAACAAAAACACTGCTCCCCTTGCAGTTTAAAAGGCCATGCTTCTGTCAGAATAGGTAGAGGTTTTTGATGTTTGATATTTTGTTGTCGTTTTATAATTTGTTGGAAGCTGCTCAGAATGGCTGTGGAAACCCAGTCAGGTGGGCAGCAAGCAAACAAATAAACAAATAAACCTTGCTGCTTTATAATAGCTTGTATTTGGAACATTTTCTTTGCAATGAATGGCCACCATAGGGCCACTCCTGCAAACTTGATGGATCCTCTTACCTGAAAATCTTTCTTTATTTTCTTGCCAAGTATGCTACTCTCCAGTTGTTTGTCCTAGACAGAATATTATTGCTAGCATCTACTGTGCTCAATAATGATGTTCTTTTTTAAAATCAGGATATTACGGAGCTGAACAAGAGCAAACAAAATAAGTTGCCCTCTGGCTCCTGTATAAGAAATGCTCTGTGTTCAGGTTCTTCCCCCTCACAGGTGTGGATTGCTGAAGGCAAAAGGGAAGTGCCTGATGCTGACATTGCGCAATAAGAAGATGCCTTGGCTTTCAGGCACACTTCCTGAGTTCTGCACACGCAGAAGATATAGGCATAATAAAAGCTGTGATCATTAAAAGTCAGTGTCGTTGGAAGCAAATGTTTCCATATGAAGGTGATGGTGAAGATTGCTGCATGCATTTGAAAGGAGATAAGTGTGCTTGTCTCACCGGTCTGAAATTGCATGCCCTTAAGAATGATCTCTCACAACAAGTACCATTGATGCATTTTAACTGGCTCTTCATAGCAGAGACACTTAACTTTGTACAACTGTTTGAGCTGTTAGAGACCTAAGTCAGCAGCTGAACAGTTCCTCTGCCAGAGTTGTCTGGAAATGCACACATGCAGAGAGAGAGAGAGAGAGAGGGAAGGAAGGAAGGAAGGAAGGAAGGAAGGAAGGAAGGAAGGAAGGAAGGAAGGAAAGAAAGGGTCAAATAGAACTCAAAGATAGAACCTTTCTATGGGATTTGAGCATGGGTTGGCAAACTAAGGTCCATGGGCCGGATGAGGACCAATTGCCTTCTAGATCCGACCCATGGACGGGCCGGGAATCGCAGAGTGGATCGCCAGCGTGCATGTTATTTCCTTTTCCCTCCCTCT